TTTTTATACAGTAAGAAAATATAAACGTGAAGTTAGAGTGTATGGCTAAACTATCTTGATTGACCTCAAATTCTCTTGAGAATTTCCCTGAGATGTTTTCTCTGATGAAAACCTTAGATGATTGCTCTCTAATTCCCTTAAGATATAGCAATGATTCCCTTTCACTGGTTGAGATGGAATATTCTTGAAAGAATTTCCGTGCTATGGTTATGTTCTTGAAGTACTTGAAAATTGCTCATTATTGTTCTAGTTCTGTTGCTAAAAATAGTAACATCTGAGTCTGTTACTATCTTTTATTTTTTTTTTTTGAGAGGTTTTTGCTATAGGGCACATGTGCTCGCCAGACAGACAGAGAGAGACAGAGAGACAGAGAGACAGAAAGCAAGAAATCACCCCCCAGAGGGGATGGCCATGCCGCAATCCCTTCTCTTCCTTTCTTCTCTCGGGATCTTGGGCACGCACACACATGCACCCAGCGTGAGTTTTAAGCCACTGGGTACAGGACTTGAACGAGTCTCTACTACATGGGAGTCTAGTGACATAGCCATTACGCTAACTGCTGATCCCTGAGTCTGTTATTATCTTACATTTAAGATAATAGGCATTTATTTAGCTCAGGGTTCAGAGGTCCAAGGTCTAGGGCTTGTATATAGTGAAGGTATTCTTGCTATTGGATAACATAGCAGATACCCAGAATGCATTCACGATATGTGTCTTATCACCTCTCCTATACATATGCTACAGATAAAATCTAGTTAATCTTATTTATATGTGAACATATGTAAAATATATTTGCCTGTATCTATTTATACAAAGAGATGACCAATGAAGAAAATTTTCTTGGCTTGAAAGCTAATGATACTTTAAAAAACATACTTAAGGGGCCAGGAGATGCCGTAGTGGTTACATCACTAGACTCCCACATAATTGACTACAGTTTGAGTCCCTGGTGGCTTGAAACTCACGCAGGGCATTTATGCATGTGTTCCCAAGATCTGGAACAGAGTGAAGAAGGGATTGTGGCATGGCCATTCGGCCTAGGGGTGATTTCTCACTTTCCCTCTCACTGTCTCTGTCTCTCTCTCTCCAGGAGCACAGAAGTTCTAAGGCAAAAACATCTAAAAAAAAATACTTAAAATATTGAAATAGTGTCTGAATTGGTACCTGTTTTATATATAGTATTTATGAACTCTTAGTATAAAAAGGAGGATTAATGTACAAACCAAATTTTAAATAATTAATATGCCAGCATTAAAGGAAATATGAGAAAAATATCTATGATTCTCAAGCTTCATTAAATTTTACTTTATAAATCTACTTAAAGCAAATTTAGGTTTTTTTTTTTTTAATCATTATTATTAAAGCAGGAAAAAATACCTTCAGAAATCAAAAGATTAATTGACCAGGGAACAAGTCAAGAGCAAGCTCTCAAAATGACCACTCATTGCTCTCTATGGTAACAGGATTTTAGTTATGAAATAACTTTATATTTCACAGTTAAATCTCTTTAAGGTCTCCTATAATGTGAAGGGTTGATGTCAGAGGTATATATTATACAGATTATAACACTAAATATAAGAAAAAATAAACTTATTCAATATATATATATATAAAATCATATATTTAAACTGCATATTTAAATTTTAAAAAGTGTTATTGTTGAAAGCTATATCATTTAAATTATTTTCAGACATGGATGTTAAAAAGCTTCTATATTAATTGAAGAGAAGTAATATACTACTTTCAAATATATTTTAAAATACAATGCTAATGTTATGTAACAAGTTCAACAAGTTATGAAACCGAACAAAGCACATTGATTGGCTCTCTCTCTCCACCTGCTTATGTTGGACTTTTTATGTTTGCTTTGTATGGCTCTATGTTGCTAAAAATACTTCATTATGTAAATATAAACATAGACATGCATACAGACACACATATATACACAGTTTTTTAACTCCATTTTTAAAAAGATTTTTCTTTGGCTGTATTCATTTTTTCACCTTACACCCAAAATGACTGGTCTTTCCCCAAGTTTCCTCAGAAACATAGGCCCACGTTTTCACACCTAATACTTCAATTTAGATAAATCACATTGAGTTGATCTCCTCCTGTCTTCTTACTGAAATGCCAGTAAATATAAAATCACATATAATGTTTTCATTCAACAACATAGAGACTTCCTCAGTAGTGTTTCTTAGATGTTTCTATTTGTAACAACTATATGCATTCAATCAATTTAGTGGACATACTTCCAACCTTGTGATGGAATTGTTCTGTATCATTGTATGTGTGTGTATGTGAGTGTGTGCGTGTGTGTGTTAGAGGGCCTGTGCATTCCTCAGAAAGAAAGAGGGGGGCAAGAAAAACCATTCCCTACTCCATAGGGAATAGTTATGTTACAATTCCTTCTTGTAAATCTATTTCTCCTTTAGGGATTTTGAGAACATAAAAACATATGCCTAGTGTGCTTCTCAAGTCACCATGTTCAGGACTAGAACTGCAAGGTCAGCCATTGGGATTTGGCTTCCTTACAGGGCATGGAGGTAGTCACTTGTTCTGTATCTTGACTATTGTGATGAATACATGAATCTACTCTTGTGGAAAACTTGAATAGAAATAAATACACACACAAATACACACACATGAGTACATGTAAATTGTTAAATATGAATGAGATTAGTACTAATTTGTAAAATGTTACCTTTTGGAAAACTAGGTTAAACATGCATAGGAACTGTCTCTACTATTTCTTCTAATTTACAAATAAATCTATGATGTAAAAAACCATCAAACTCAGACTTACTTGAAACTGATTTATGCCAAGTTAAATCTTTATGGAAAAATGGTTCCATGAGAATCATCAACTCCAGAAACACTAAAATTTATATTCTGAAATAATTTGTCAGAAATGTACCTAATTTTGTCACAGTGTAGAAAATACCCTTAATAGCTCCAATAACAATTGGACTAACAGAAATATCTGTTTTAAAATTAGAACTTTATCAAAAATTACTTGTAATCTTGCCTTAGTCAAGAGCAACTGAATCATTAGTAAACATGTTATTTAAAATTAAGTTCTAATTGTATACATTTTGATTATTTAAGAAATGAATTTGTGGAAAAGTAAGCCAAAAATGTTTAACATCAATCAAGATGGCACAGTAATATGATATTATTATGTATTATCTTATGTTATGTCATTAATATGTTAACTTCTATAATTTGTGATTTTATGTTGTTAATTATCTATCATTATTATATTAAGCTTTAAATATTTTTACTTGAAAAATTTTTATAAGCCAGCAGATGGCATACCAGTTACATCACTGGACTCCCACATAGCCAAGTGGGGTTCAAGTTCCAGACCTGCTGGCTTGAAACTCATGCTGGGTACTTGTGCATGCATGCCCAAGATCCCAGGAGAAAAATGGAGGAGAAGAGAATGTGCTGTGGCCATCCAGCCTGGGGGTTGCTTTCTTATTTTCCCTCTCAGGGTCTCTATCTCTCTTTCTGTCTTGAGCAAATGCACATACCCTAAGGCAAAAACCTCCACAAACAAACAAACAAAAACAACAACAACAAAAAACTTTACATTTTGTCTCTTTTTTTGATAGTTTTTAATTGGGTTTTTGTCATAGGATATATGCACTTGCCAGAGAGAAACATTCTTCATGAGTCTCCTTCTGGGATTTTAGACATACACACACACACACCTGGTGTGATTTTCAAGTTGCCAGGTCTAGGACTTGAACAGTAGTTGGCCGCCTGTGAATCCAACACCTTAACAACTACACCATCTCCTGGCCCCACATTTTGTAAGAGCACTTTTTTCTACTTACAATTTGAACTAGGGGCCCCACATTTTCATTTTGTACTGAATCTTATGAATTTTGTAAGACCTGTGCTAGGGCATTTTATACAAATTTATCAAAAATATCTTTAAAATTTATCAAATAAGTGAAATCTATTGAACAACTTATTTTTGTAGAATTGAGCTTGGAATAAAGTTTTGAAATGACATAAGAATTTATAACTAATAACTAACCTTGGATTAGTCTTTTTTTTTTTTTTTGAGAGGTTTTTTCGCTATAGGGCGTGTGTGCGCTCTCCAGCCAGCCAGAGAGAGACATAGAGACAAAAAGCGAGAAATCACCCCCCAGGGGGGATGGTTACGCCGCAATCCCTTCTCCTCCATTCTCCTCTCGGAATCTTGGGCACGCATGCACACGCGCCCGGCGTGAGTTTTAAGCCACCAGGTCCGGGATGCAAACCGCGGTCGACTACGTGGGAGTCCAGAGACATAGCCATTACACTAACTGCTGGTTCCCAGATTAGTCTTTTTTTTTTAAATATCCAAAATATTCATTTACCTATTTTACTTTATTATTTTATTTAAAAAACAACAAGATTCATCCATCTTTAACCCTAACATTTTAATTCCAGTATACACTGGCCTGAGAAATGACTTCAAGGAAATCTTCTGATTTATTAGATGTGCTTTTTCCAACATGTTTATTTATCTTTAAGAAAGATAGTAAGATTAAGGATAATACAAATATATCAATATGAATTTTAAAAATCTGAACTTCATGATTTTGTTTTTAAAAAATCCTATTTTAGGTGCATATGCTTCACACCCATCTGCTGCATTTCTCAGCTTGCAAATAAACTACTAGAAAATGACCAGATTTCCTTGAAACTAAATGAGTCCATCAATGCCATTGCTGCAAAAGGAATATTTAGTTTAAAAAACAGCAAACTTATAACTGTTTAAGTGCATATATTAACAGTAAACTATTTCTATTTCATTTCAGTAGACAAGATTTGAAAAGCATCATTTGATTAGCAGTTAGTGAGAAACATACATGTAAATGCTCCATTATAAGGACTTTCCCATACACTGGCTAAGCTGTAATGCTTCTGTGTGCAGGTGGAATGCACTTTTTATTCTGCTGTCCAAATGGCTCAGTCTATTTTTGTGTTCTCTCACATTCCAGAATGATTCTTGGGGAAAGCAGTATTCATATGCACTCTTCAAAGCCATGAGTCACATGCTGTGTATCGGATATGGAGCCCAAGCCCCGGTCAGCATGTCTGACCTCTGGATTACCATGCTGAGCATGATAGTCGGGGCCACCTGCTACGCCATGTTTGTCGGCCATGCCACTGCTTTAATCCAGTCTTTAGATTCTTCAAGGCGGCAATATCAAGAGAAGGTAATGTGTTTTTATCTTCATTATCTTCAACCAGCTAGTTAGTAAGTTGAATAAACTGTGTTCAAGGCAATTAAACTATTTCTGTCTATCAAGGGGAAACTACTGGTGCATAGCAGAAACTGGAAAGGGGAGAGGAGTGGAAGAAGTAGAGTGAGGTTGGTTAACGGATAAAAGAGTGAATGCAAATAAGTAGGATGGAGTATAGAATATTATAGTACAGTTGCGTAAAGAAAGGGAGCGACAATTTTATAACTATCTCAAAAAATCCAATAGAGTGTATTTTGAATGTGCACAATAAATAATAATAAATGTTGGATATGGTGAGTATATTAATTTTCTTGATTTGACTCTTACAACTTTGTACACATGCTTTGAAAAAAAAACACACAAAGATGAACAACTATTATATGTAAATTAGAAATCACAATAATATTATTACTAAAAATATATATGATGAACTAAAATGTTTAAAGTAAGAAGATACAGTCTGTTTTGATATTTTCAGATTTCTTCAAGATAGTCCTAAGCTTTTATTTTTTTAATTTTTCTTTTGAATAATAAATTGTAGAAATTTATCTATATCTATAGAAAAATAGTTACATGTTTCAAATTATATGAAGATGATAGAAGGTGCTATCCTGGTTCATTTCCTATTATATGTCATCAGTTAAAATATTACAAAACCTTGTCTATTATATGTGAGGAAAACACTAGCAGATTAAATGGGGACAGATAGCCCTTGCATATATTCTCCCATTCCTCTTCTCATAACATAACCGTAATTTATATTACTGTCCATATGCTTAGCTCGACATATGCTCCTTTATATCAACACACCCTCCAGTCTCAGAAACATACATTAACAGCTGCTATTGTGCAGTCTTTTGCACAGTGTGTAATTAAAGTGACTGTTGCTCTAAATTTTTCTCTTAAGAGGAAAAAAGGATATGCATAGTTTTATTCATTGGATTTTTTTCATATGCTGAATTACTTTGATTGGGATTGAACACTGGACAGTACTAATTTTCTTGACCAAACATCAGTAACTTTCTGACAGACACATAAGAATATTTTGTAACTAAAGCCAGCGTCATAGCCTGGTGGCTCAGATATCTCGATTCTACATGGCAGACCTTCTATTTCAAGTCCCAAACCCAGTGGCTTGAAAAACACAATGAGTACTTGTGCATGTGTTCCCAAAATCCCCAAAAGAGGGAGAAATTGAGGAGAAAGGATTGTAGTCTCACTACACCTCATGGAGCTGTATTCTCCTCCTTCTCTCTGTCTCTTTGCTTCACTCTTTTCCTCTGGCAAGTGCATACACTGCTGACAAAAATTAAAAGGAAAGAAAGACTATTTCATAACTAAAGAATGTATAACTTCGGGGCTCTGTTGATTGTGACAGAGTGCATAATCTGCACCTTGCAAAGCAGCATTTCTGAAAGCAGTGGTTGAAATGGTTCTTGCATATTTCTCCTCATGATTGATAACAGGTTAGACAGATAATTACTTTAAAAATAGCCAAAGATCATTTCACTTGTTTAGAGATTTCAACACCATATGACACAATGGAGTAAAGAGAACCTAGACATTTTATTTGCCTTGGAGGTAATTGCACTGCCGCCAACTATTACAGTGAGTAAGTTGGTATTTTCTTACTGAAGTAATGAAAAGATGAACCACCGAAATTGCTTTGAGGTTCATTTTTAAATAAAGCCTCCAATTAAATTGGAAAGAACAAAGAGCATAGTAAGAGAGAACAGGAATTATACAATGGTGAGTGTGACTAAAATTATATACTCAAAGCAACTTGGGCTAATTTTATGTTGATTTAAGAGAAGACGACAATGCAGTCTATCTGATGCTTCCCTCATACTGTTTCTTTTTCCCTTTGGGTGGATGTTGATTTTAATTTAAAAATTCTCCTTTTATTCTGCACCATTATTACATATTTCCTTGAAAACAGAAGAAATCTTCAATATCAAGGATTTTATGGATTAGCATCATGTTGCATAGAAAATAAATTCAGCATTTTTGTGATTTTAGACTTAAGCCAGTATTAACTTGGGGGCCCAATTTATAGAACTACATATTTATGAGCATTTATAGGCAAATGTTAAAATATTTGCCATAATTTAGTCATCAAATTCTTGATTTTATGGGTTCTCAATATAGGGCAAGAGTACTACAGTAGTTTCTTGTTGTTTTCTGATATTTGGAATAATTTAATCAGGAACAACTGATTAAAAAATAATATAATTTGGGACCAGCAGTTAGCATAATGGCTATGTCGCTGGACTCCCACGTAGTCGACCGCGGTTCGAGTCCCGGACCCGATGGCTTAAACTTATGCCAGGCGTGTGTGCGTGCATGCCCAAGATCCCAAGAGGAGAATGGAGGAGAAGGGATTGCAGCATGGCCATCCTCCCTGGGGGGTGATTTCTCGCTTTCTGTCTCTCTGTCTGTCTGGTGAGCGCACATGCCCTAAAGCAAAATAATAATAATAATAATAATAATAATAATAATAATTTGTTTTTTAAGTCTTCCAACTTATGTCTGTCTCAAGAAGTTTCATTCTAAAGTAATATAGTCAACTTCCTAGTCAGCGCAGTACAGGAGAGGTGTGTGCTTGTTTGTTTGTTTGTTTAACAAGGATAGTGGTCACACTGCAATCCCACCTCCTCCAGTCTCCTCTGAGGATTTTGGGCACATGCACATATATGCCTAGCATATTTTTCAAGCCACTGGATCTGAGATTTGAACCACATAGCTAGCCATGTGGGATCCAGCTGCTTTTACCCCAATGCCACCTGCTGACTCCTGCTCTCTTTTAATTTAGGTAAAATATTCATAATATGAAATTCACCACATGACCGACCCTGCTGTTTAAGTGCTAGACCAGGTGGCTTGAGAAACATCCTGAATTCATGGGCATGCATATCCAAAATCGTGAAAGAAAGGAGAGATGGAGGAGAAGGGATTGTGGTGTGATCATTTTCCATGGGAAGTGATTTCTCACTTTCCCTCTCTTTCTGTGTCTCTCTGGCAAATGTATTTGCTCTCTGATAAAATGAAAAGAAAAAAAAAAGAGTTTACAATCCAATGGAATTTAATGCATTTACAATGTTATGCAGCAAGCACCTTTATGTGGTTTTGAATAATTTTTATCTGACCAAAAGACACCCATTAAATACTCACTCCCCATTTTCTCCTTTCCTCAGTTCCAGGGTAACCATATTCGGCCTTATGTCTATTGATGTCCCTATTCTGGATGCTTTATATAAATGTTACTATACAATATGTGATCTTTTTAGCATTTTTTTCAGGTTCATCCACACTGCATAATATATTAAAGTTTCATTTCTTTTTGTGGCTGATTATATTCCATTGAATAAATGCAACACATTGTGCTTGTCCATTCATGAGCTGATGGATATTTGGGTCATTTCTACCTTTAGCTATGGTGAATAGCATTGCTATTAATATTTATGAACATTTGTCTGAGAACCTATTTTCAATTCTTTTGTGTATATAGAGCTGTAGCTTTTTTATCATCGTTATTATCATTATCATTGTATTTATATTTACTTTCTTGACCAGAAAATGCGTGGTGATCGTTATACTGTCATGTTGCAGATTAAAAACTTTATTTGAATAGCAATTTATGCCACTCATTTAATAAGTTACTATGTTTTCTGTTCTTCTTCATTTCAAACAACTAAGTTTTCCCATCCTCTCAGATTAAAAAAAAAGTTCATGGTATAAGAGGGGTTTTATTTCAACTCCATTTCCCCTTTTGCGCTATTCTAGATTATCAAGAAGCAACAGTTTCTGTGACTGGTATTATTAACTTCAGAAATCACCAAAACAATTGTATTTTTGTCTTCAATCATCTCTTTAATTTTATTTAATGAAATTTAGTGAGATATTTTCTCACTAATTAAATTAAATCCTTCCACAACCCCAGTAGGATGGAAGTCAGTAGTAACAAAGGTGTACTGGGGCCATCAGCTCTCTTTCCGTTACTATCATAAGACAAGAGGAAGCTGCTGTTTGTCTTCTTATCAGGGGAGAAGAGTGAAGAAGAGAGGAAACAGAAGGATAGAGGCAGTAGCTGAAAGTATGTGGTAGATATGCTAAACTCTTGTCTCTGGTGGGTTTATAGATGATGAGAGTTGATACTTCCCTTGTGAGAGCCTGAGCTTTTTAGGTTAAATCTGTTGAGCCTTTCTACAGTTTACTAGTTGAGGCCCTGAGAATCTTGCAATTGCTCTCCCAGAGGCACATTTGGATAGGACCCAGTGGTGGCAATGGGTCAATGCTGGACAATGGGACAATGCTGGCCCTCCACTGTGGCTCTGGTCCACAGAGACATACTCCTGCATCTCTCTCTGAGATCCTCTGTCGGCACACACCTGCCTTCTCCACTAAACCAGTGAAGAACGTGTATCCTGCCTTCCTGGGCAAAGGTCAGCACTCACAAAATATTTATATTTTCTCAGGTGTGATTCAGATCACAGACTTCTGTCTCTTAACTGTGTTAACTTATTTCAAAGATCTCCAAGTGGTTTTCTTGAAGTGTTCCTTACATATCAAGTGTGAGAAGGCAGTCCGTACCACAGCCCTATTCTAAAAGGTGTTGGGAAGGAACTCACAGCAGAGAAACTGGTTCTTCTAAGAAAACTGTTCTCTAATCGCCTCAAAGACATTCTCACTCTGCCCTCTTATTTCTATATAGCATTGATGAGATTGAGGCCTCCAAGAATCATGATCCTTTGGTCACCATTTACAACTGTAAACCTGCATACAAGACATCTTTTACAATCAGTGTTCTGGTATCTCTCAGATTAGCAGCTAAGTGAACGTGAGGTAGAAAGAGTCAGTTTCAATCTAGCATTCTTGTGGTGCTTTCCTTTTCTCCTTGTGAAGCCTCTTCCACAGATAATATCAATAAGTATTAGACTTACATAAAAACTGTGATATGGTCAAATAAGTTTAGA